AGTGAATGGTCTAGTCCAATTTTATTAGTGCCCAAAAAATCAATCGTATCAGGGGAGAAAAAATGGAGACTTGTAATTGATTATAGAAAACTTAACGAACGAATTAAAGATGACACATTTCCCCTTCCAAATATAACAGAGATATTAGATTCATTGTCAGGTTCAGTATATTTCAGTCATTTAGATTTATTTTCCGGTTATTATCAACAAGAATTAGAACCAGATTCCAGAAAATATACAGCTTTTAATTCTGGACAATACCAAATGACACGTATGCCAATGGGGCTAAAGACGAGTCCAAGTGCATTTAGCAGAATGATAACGTTGGCAATGTCTGGTCTAACATATGAAAAATGTTTTGTCTATTTAGATGACATAGTAATTTTTGGAAGAAGCTTGGAAATTCATAATAAAAACCTTTTAAATGTTTTTGAGAGATTACAACAGGTAAATCTTAAACTAAACCCATTAAAGTGTGAATTCCTTAAGAAAGAAGTGTTGTATTTAGGCCACGTAGTTTCAGCAGACGGAATTTTACCTGATCCAGAAAAAATTAAATCAATAAAAGAATACCCAACTCCATCAAACGAAAAAGAAGTAAAAAGTTTTGTAGCCCTTGCAAACTATTATAGAAAATTTATACCAAATTTTGCAGAAAAGGCATTTCATTTAAACAAATTAGGAAAAAAAGATGTTAAATTTAAATGGGATGATAATTGCCAGCGGTCATTCCAAGAATTGAAAAATGCTATAATAACACCGCCCGTATTGCAATATCCTGACTTTAGCAAAGAAAATGAATTTATTTTGCATACAGATGCCTCAGGCTACGCGATAGGTGCCGTTCTATCTAACAGTAATGGGAAGCCTGTAGCTTATGCAAGCAGAAGTCTAAATAAAGCAGAGAGTAACTACGCCACTATAGAAAAGGAACTATTGGCAATCGTTTGGGCAACAAAACATTTTCGTCCATATTTATATGGTAGACATTTTAAAATAAAAACAGATCACAAGCCGTTGATATAACTATTTAACATGAAGGATCCATCAAGTCGACTACTTAAGTTTAGATTAGCATTAGAAGAATATCACTTTACAGTCGAATACATTAAGGGTAAAGAAAACACTGCAGCTGACGCCTTATCTCGAATTAAAATAACATCTAAAGAGTTAAAAGAAATGAATGAATGTTTATATGTCATTACCAGAAAAATGGCTAATCGACAAATGACAAGTAACAATGATAATGAACTAATTAATAGTGATTCTACTGACAAAGGGACTGATCAACCTAGAGTGGTAGAACTCACAACAATACCAAAAGAAGGAGTAGAATTGCAATTCATTAAAGGAAATGAGCTCAATAAAGTAAATATAAATGACAAAACTAATATAAAAGAGTCAAAAACATTAATATATTTAAAGAAAGAAAAAACGTTATATATAAAACTAGTATCACCATCGCAAATGACGCGACGCGCCTTTGTGCGTGAACTAGGTATAAAATGCAAAGAATGGAATATAAATAAGATAACAGTGAGGAAAAATAAAAATAATAATGTATTTGTAAAAACCCTTGCAAATGAAATACAAAAAACAAAAGAAGGGAGTATTCCAAGTTTGTGTATAATAAATGATGTAATAAAAATAACTAATAAAGATGAAAAAAAAGTGATATTAAATGATTTTCATATATTGCCTACAAGTGGCCATGCTGGGGAACGGAAAATGTATAACAATATAAAAAGAAGATATTTTTGGTCAGGTTTAGAAGAAGATATAAAGAATTATGTACAAAAGTGTGAGAAATGTCAGAAAGAAAAATATTCAAGATATACTAAGGAACCAATGACAATAACAACAACAGCTACAGAGGCATTTCAAAAAATATTTATGGACGTCGTTGGACCATTAGAAAGAGATGAAGAAAATTTTTCATACATACTTACTATACAATGTGAATTAACAAAATATATTGAAGCTTATCCTATGAAAACAAAAAGTACCAAAGAGGTTGCAGAAAAGTTTGTTAATAACTTCATTCTTCGGTTTGGGATACCTGAAATCATTGCTACAGATAGAGGAACAGAATTTATATCTACAACATTCCAAGAGGTATGTAACTTACTGCATATAAATAAACTTACATCCACAGCTTATCATCATCAAAGTATTGGCGCACTGGAAAACAGCCACAAAAGCCTAGGTACTTATTTACGTATTCAAACTGATAATCATAGTGGACATTGGAGTAAATGGATAGCGTATTGGTGCTTTGCATATAATACGTCTGTCCATACAGAAACTAAATTTACACCATTCGAATTAGTATTCGGAAAACAAGCCAACTTGCCAAGTAATTTAACAATTCATCCAGAACCAATTTACAATCATGAAAGTTACCCTTTGGAATTGAAGTATAGACTTCAGTTGTCACAAACAGAAGCAAGAGAAAACTTAATAAAAAGTAAAATGATTAGAAAAATAAAATATGATAAGAATTGTAATCCGGTAGTGTATAAACCTAATGATAAAGTATTAATTAAGAATGAAAATAGGAATAAATTGACCAGCATATATTCAGGTCCTTATATAGTTGTAAGAGATATATCCCCAAATGTAGAAATCTTAGATAATGGAAAAATAAAATTAATACATAAAAATAGAACAAAACTGTTCAAAAAAAAAAAAAAAAAAAAAAAAAAAAAAAAAAAAAAAAAAAATATTTTTTTTTTTTTTTGAAAGGGGAAGGTGTAATAGGTATAAGTAATAGGTATAAGATAACAATAGTTCTAAGAATAATATATATTAATATTGTAACATGATCCTAATATGATATAGTTCTATATTTGGTAATTGAGGTTGTAATAGTATCTAAGTATAAACAATTGAACCTGAAGCCTAACCTACATACCGTAGGGGGCAACAACCTATGACATCATCTATGTACCCGTACTATGACATCATCCCTGTAAACCCTAATCACTATAAAAGGGGTCCATTAATAAAAATAAAGTTAGTCTTATAACCAACTTCTTGTGTTTAATTACTTCCTCGCGTACCGCTATCACAATTTAAATAAACATAGTCCAAGATAGTCTTGTTTCACCGTTGTTTGGCGCACGCCTCAAAGAGCCATCAAATATACCCTCATATTGAGGTTGAGGGTGCAAGCGCAATAATGTGCCGCGGCTCCGGGTCAGAACAGGAGTGACAGAACACACCCCCTCCAGGACGAGTCAAGCCATTTGATGATTTTAACCCCACATTGTTTATTGTGTGAACATCACAGTTATGAGAGCTGTGGTAGCTGCCCATGAAGGCAACATGCGTTATCAAATTAAACCTTTATTTGATAAACATGTTTTTTATTAAACAATCAATTGCCTTTAACAAGGCGCATGGCGCATATCCGACTTGTTAGGGGTAGCTTTGTTGTATGGTATTCTGAATTGAAATTTAAAACAATACGATCGAAAAAGATTGTAAAATGTATCAGGTTTAAAACTGCATCAACAGTTTTTTTTCAATCTTTTTTTTATGTGATGGGAAAATCATCACATGACTTCTCCCGCCCAGGACCGGGCGGGAGGGTGTGTCAGACTCTTACTGACTAAAAACCCCCCTGTTACTTCTACTGCTCTGGGCCGAGGGAGCAGTGCCTCATTGCGCTTAACCCGCAACCCTGGCTGAACATCAGCTCTATAGGGCCTTGTCTAACTAGGGGTGGTCTATTGGCTCTTTTAGGCGCGCGCGGAACGCTACGCGCCGTACGCTCGGGTCTGGTTCTAGTCGGGCGGCGAGCTACCCTTACTCGCCGTCCGCAGACCCGCGCTTACGGTGGCCGAAGATTGTCCCTTGATCCCCGACGCCCATAGTGTCGCCTGTTGCGGTAGCTGGGGCGTGAGGAAGAGGATTGCTCCATCACGCGGGCCGCCTCCCTCTTTGCGAGCATAACTGTTTCCAGAAGGAGGAGACGGCATCCCAGTTCCTTTCGCTAAGCACCATGGCCTCGACTAAGGCCGGGCGCGAGAGGTCGTCGCCGCCGATCACTTCCCTGAGGACACGGCGGTGCTCAGCCCAGGCAGAGCATACCGCCACCGTATGCTCAACCGTATCATCTAGGTGGTCCTCACAATGACGACACCCGGGAGTTTCCTCCCGCTGGATCCGAAACAGGCCGAAGCTGCCGTGCCCAGTAAGCACCTGCGTAAGGCGGAAGGTGAGGCCGCCGTGGCTTCTCTCAAGCCACTCCTCAAAGAGGGGTCTTACCTCTGCTATAACAGTGTGCCCGGCCCTCGGCTGTGACAAGGTTTTGAACAAAACCTTGTCACAGCCAATCTAGCAATCACATTTCGGTAGGGGCCATCGAAATTTAAACTCTAAGGTGGGCCAATAGATGTGTCCAGAAGTGTATTACATAGTAGGAGAGTAGTATTTACATATTCAAGCTTTTATAACTACTTTCTTTATTTAATAAATGGACAATTTGTATCAAGTCTAATGCTAGCTACTGGATAATAATAAATTGGCTGCATGGTTGGTGCGTTGGTGGGGCTATGGGCTGCCTAAACTTAATATTTCTACTGTATGTATAACTTGGGTCTAAGACAATAAGTTCAATACTTTGCTGAAATACCTACATTTATATTTAAATTAATGCAAATATCGTGAGATTTTATATTTAAACTAACTAAGAGTTTTTATCATATTATTATCACCTATCAACCACTGCTAAGCACAGTGATACAGTTCATAGAGTCTGGGAGAGCAGAGTACCAGGTAAAAAAATAAATTACAGTACTACAACCAAAAATAATATACCTTGGAGACTTTAGTCTCAAAGGTATATGCTTATTTTTCTGAATAACTGTCCAGACTTGGATGACATTTGGCACAGACAGAAATAATTCTTAAAATAAAACTTTACCATCATATTTCAAGTGAAAAGCTATTACCTATATGAATTTAAATACAATAAAATGCTAAGTGTCACTTACCATCCTTCATCAGCTGACGCATCTCTTTGGTCCTTTGAAAATTGATTTCCTCCAGTAATTGTTCAAGCATTGTGGCGCTTTTTAAATAAGTTGATCCTCCCAGAGCCATCTTTCAGCTAGTAAGTATGTAGGTACTGTAGCTGCACTTCAATTGCTTACGACTCTTTTGTACAACACTCATCAACACATTTCGACCACAGTCGAATTTTAAATAAGTAATATTATTTATTTCGCATAATTATTTTGACATGTATACAGCGGTGGACGTGTGTAATCGCAAGCTTTTTATCATCAACTTGATTATTTACAAATAAAGCCTAAACAATCGCTTCTCTGTTTTCCATTTCTTATCAGTATATTTTTATATCCATTCAATTCACCAATCAAAGACTCAAAATTCCTGAAAATCTACGTGTGAATGAATGTGTAGGTAGGTACTGAAATTAATGTCTAACTTGCCAAATTGACTTTGACGTGAATGACTATAAATCATAGATAACAGAGTATCTTATATATATGCCTGATCGTAGACAGAGAATAGAATCTATCCTCTCTCTACTTGCCTGGCCTGGTTAAGGACTTGGTCGCCATTAAGGAAAAAAGATTTACAGATCTAAGGAAACAAGTATAACTTAAAAAATTGATTTTTTACACTGCTGTGTCCTTCTTAGTACTGCTGACTCAATCCGAGTACTTATCTAATTTTTTTCACGACATTCACCATTATTTCCTTCTTTTGATATTAACGCAAGCCACTGAAAATACAAAAAATACATATTATTTTTCAGAAACTGAAAAAGTCTAACAACCAAACAATCAGGAAAATAAGTAAAAAACCAATAGCCATAGACTACCTACAAGTCATTTTACGTTGATTATTTTGACATTGACATATTAACATAAATTATATTTGCCATATTGTCATACCAAAAGGAACGAATCTATTCACAAAAAAATGATAAAAATGACAGCTCTAATAAGCTCTTAAAATCTGTAAAAATACATCAATAATAATGTTCTTTTTAGCTCATAGTCCGCCTCTTGTACAAAGTCGACTTAAAATCATACAGTGAAGTTTTACGGTTGTTAATCAGAAGAGAGCGGGAGAATAGAAGAAAATGTCACCTATAAGACCTATTAGATATTTATACAAGCATAGTGCGTTCGCGTTGAGGCACTCGTCACGATTAGTTAGTGCATTGGCACAGCAGGCGCATTCAGCAGAAGGGAACAGTAATTCAGAGGGCGAGTACCGATCAAGAGCCGGGAGGACAGCGCTAGGTGCCGGCTCGCTAGCACTCGCTCTGCTAGCAGCTGATCATGTCTTCAATGGTGCTTAGTTACTTAGTAACCTGTTACAGATTGATATTTGAAAGATGTCATAATTACATTACATTATAAGACTCCATTATCAATGTCAAACATTGCTACCATCCATGAGCTTGCCACTTAGAATTTTGACCCTGATAGGTCTAAACAATGTAATGAGGTTGCATGCAGACTGCACCTTCTCTCTACATTTGAGCTTACAGTCACAGGTTGGTCTAGGGCCATCATTAGCGCATGCATATTGCAAGTTATATAAAGGATTGTATGTCACATCATCATTCTTACATAATACTTTAATTTAAATCATATAGCCCGTAACATAACAGAGGATTAGTTTGGGAAATGTAACCTAATTGATATAATTAAGTATAAAGAATATTAAAATCAAGTTGATATTTTGTTTACCTTTCAATTGTGGTAATCCATGACATAACGGAAGAACAAACACAAACACTGGCATTTGCTTGGGTTTAATGAACTAATGAAATAAAATTATAATGTGACCAATGTAATCGCAGGGGAGGACCGTCTGTCATTTCTTTAACAAAATACTGATGAATGAATCCTAATTCCCTTATTAAATTTTATTTGATTACTTCACCTTCTGCAGGAGTCATTGTGGCAAAGACAGTCTGCCAATGTTTGTTATTTGTTGCCCTTCTTGACATAGCATGAGCATGTGTAGTTTACAACTCCCCTAACCTTAATTTGATAAACTAGTATTTTAATAAAATTTTCCTTCCTTAATATACATTTTAATACCTTGTCTCCTTGCAATGCCATGTCCACAATAGCTTGTGTCATTTTTGTAATTATGTCAATTAAGTTGCTGATACTTGATGGTATGTTGGTAGTTTGAAATTACATCATTTTACTGTACATAATAATATACAATACTGTAAACATAACAGTTGTTGGTGGTAGAAAATAAAGAAAAACAAGAATTGACCTATAAACATAATTCATTGTAGAAAAACGATTCTTCAAAGCTGCTCAACTTGGGAATTTGCAAGAATTACGGAAGTGAGTATTTAAACTTCTGAAGTATTTAAATACTGTTACTTGTAGCCATTATAACATTAACAAAAATTCAGGCAGGTGGAAGCGGCAGCTAGCAACATCAAAAGTGGGCGAGGCGGAAACGAGGCCGCTGGAGGCGCTGCTGACTGGCGTCACACTCTGGGTTGGACGGCACTCATGGTGGCCGCCGCCAACGACCAGCCCGATGCCGTCCACGCGCTTTTGAAAATGGGCGCTCGGCCTGACCTGCAGGAGCGGTACTCGGGCGCCGCCATGGCAGCTGCGGCCGCAGGCATGCACCCGCTTGAGGTACTGCAGAGGCGGGAAGATGAATTCTGTAGTACTATGAATGCGCGCGCCTCCTTCCTCGGCTGGACCGCTCTACACTACGCGGCGCTGGCGGACTCCTCGGGGGCAGCTCGGGAGCTGCTGGAAGCGGGCGCCGACCCCACGGCGCGCGACCACGCAGGCCGGCGCGCCCTGCACTACGCGCGCGACCCCTCGCCCACTCGCGACCTCATCCTCACGCACACCCGCACTTGGGAGGAGGCAGCCGCTGCCGCCGCCGCGGAGGAGCGACGTCGCTTCCCGCTGGAGCAGCGCCTCAAACAATTCATCGTCGGCCAGCAGGCCGCCATCGAGACCGTCGCGGCCGCCGTGCGACGCAAAGAGAACGGCTGGGCGGACGACGAGCACCCTCTCGTCTTCCTTTTTCTCGGCAGCTCTGGGATCGGCAAAACTGAGCTGGCGAAACAGTTAGCGCGCTACATGCATCGCGACGACCCGGCGGCTTTCATCCGACTTGACATGTCAGAGTATCAAGAGAAGCACGAGGTGGCCAAGCTGATCGGTGCGCCGCCTGGCTACGTGGGCCACGAGGAGGGCGGCCAGCTCACGCGGGCTCTGGCGCGGCGCTCAGACGCCGTCGTTCTCTTCGACGAGGTGGACAAGGCCCACCCTGACGTGCTCACGGTGCTACTGCAGCTCTTTGATGAGGTATAATTCTGCTGAATTTGGCTGTATCTCATTACTTTTATCTGTTGTATAACGTGGTGTTGATTGTCATTTAAAAAAATTGTCTTAGGGAAGGCTTACGGACGGTAAGGGCAAGTTGATCGAATGCAAGAACGCCATCTTCGTGATGACATCGAACTTGGCAGCGGATGAGATCGCGCAGTACGGCCTGCAGCTGCGGCGGGAGGCCGAGGCTCGCGCGGCCCAGCGAGTGCGCGTCACACCTGCGATCTCCGTCGAACAAAGAGGTGTGCCCGGCCTAATGGACATTTTGTCATTGTTTTATGGTGATAAAGAACCGTGGTTTTCGCTTTCAGTAGGATCTCACGATGCAAACGACCAGGACGGGCCTGACGAGTCTAACGACCCGGAGGAGTCACTGGAAGTGTCGCGAAACTTCAAGGATAGCGTGGTGCGGCCGATACTCAAACGACACTTCGGCAGGGACGAGTTCCTGGGACGCATCAACGAGATCGTGTACTTCCTGCCGTTCTCGCGGCAGGAGCTACTGACGCTGGTCAACATGGAGTTGAAGCTGTGGGCGGAGAAGGCGAGCGCGCGGCACGCCGTGGAGCTGCGCTGGGAGGGCGGCGTGCTGGGCGCGCTGGCGGACGGGTACGACGTGCACTACGGCGCGCGCTCCATCAAGCACGAGGTGGAGCGGCGCGTCGTCAACCAGATCGCGCTGGCGGCCGAGCGCGGCGCCTTGGCGCGCGGCTGCGGCGTGCTGCTCACGGAGCGCGCCGGCCGCGTCGCGCTCGCCGTGCGCCGCCCGCACGACGCCGACTACACGCCCATCGACCTCGCCGCGCTCTGACCGCGCTCGTTTCTTTACTACTTAATAAACACCTAATACAAACCTACACCGCTCTAACTCTTATTTTACTCTCATGACCTTTCCTGCACGACTGTCATAATGTTGAGTGTCAACCTTAGTTTTGTGCTCACCGTTCGTCTTAGATTGCAGTCAACCAGTAAAGATAATGTAAAAACCACAACGAGTTGCGTATATTACCTACATCTTAACTAGCTATTAAATACCAGCTTCGGTGCTCAGACGGAATAATTTATTGAATACCTATTCAGTTATTTAAACTTCTTACTCCAGAATGGTGGGTCCAGGGCATTGATATGGCGACCTGGCCACGGATCCCACGGGTGTGGATGTGGCTACATGCTAGATCTTACGCAGCAGTCTGCCAAGAGCACTGAGCTCTTATAACAACATTTACAGTAAAGTGGTCAGGAAGCGCTAACTCTCACTAATAATCATAAAACGAGTCGATAAGATTGAATTACAGGAGAATAGAAATAAAACAACGCATGATAAGTGCTTATTTTATTAAACTTCGCACCGTTATATACAAATATAATGTAATAATGTATAAATAAATAACAATTCTTTACAAAATATAATCGATTATGTGTCGGCGCGGCCGAGTGCCCGGTAGGGCCGGTGTGGTCGAGCCGCGGCGAACAACTAAACACGAAGGCCTCTGGTCGCGCCGGCCGCGCAGGGCCAGCGCTTGGTGAACTATAAGATAAACAATGATACATAGCAGCCGTACATGGGGACGATATGTGGCAGACTGACGAGCGCCTCACATTCACAAGTGTCAAGTTATGGTACATCAGTGACAGGCTGACGGTTACTGAACATGTAGGTATGCTAGATACATCGCGCTTGACTATACAATAACGTAAATGGCGTATACGACTGTATCTTGAAATTTATATATAGTTAATAATTTATTGATCTTCTATTACAGTACCTACTACCTACATGATACAGATGTCAGGATGTGAATAGAATACAGCATGAATTGGTCAAGGGTAACGGAATGTCGATGCGTGCAACGTGCAATGCATTGGTGTCCAACGTGACTCTACGCTACTTAGGTAATGGCCAACGAGAATATACTTAAGCACTACGTTTAGTAATGGCTGTAAGGCGGGCGCCTACCGCCGCGTACCTTGATGCTGCTAATAATTTAGAAAAGGGATGGCGAATGCTTTGCGTCACCAGAAGTGTCACTGCCTCTAGATATGATGTATTGGTCCTTTGCATGAAGATAGCCTTCTCGGTAGGTGCCTTGGTGAGGGTAGATACTAGGTGAGCCACGACGCGCTCGTCGTCCGTCTGTGATACTGACAGACTCGCGTTCACATCCACAACTCTATATTCGTGATGCCTCGCTTAAATATTGACTAGGTATTCTCTGTTCTTACTCAAATAAATAAAACTCGTAAACACACTAGAATCTGTTCGAGCTCGGTGTGATGTTTCAATCTCTTCACAATAATGACATGAATGACACCACTTGATTAACAACTATTCGTCTACCTCCTACTTAACCTAACGTGTCTTACAAAAAGTCAGGGTATTACATACCGGCATCGGATATTTAGGTAAGTAGGTATAACATGTTTCTTTTAAAAATCCCTGTTTCATATTGTTCGTCCTCACTTATAATAAAAGTAGCACTATTTCAGTGTGCGCCGACCGAATAACTTATAATTGGAAAACTTTCTGGAACACATCATGATTATATTTAGTAACTTATTGGCTATTAGTAGATGGCTTACTTCACTAATCGCCTTGTACAAACAGGGGTTGACCATTCGGCTGTGTTGTAACCTATAACTACTGTGTTGCCATTTATAGCTCCTCCATTAATCTAACTAAATAAGCCTGAACTCCAGCGAAGTGGAAGGACACTAGGTGGAAACTAAGTATTGGCCTCGGGGGCGGCTGCCATATTTCGTTCTCCGTTCATTACATCGTTTTGTTCGCTGATGGTATCACAGAAACGTCTTGTGCTTTTCACGAACTCTAAACTTAGCGGGTTCGTGAAATACGTAGGTACTAATATTGCAAAACAAATAAATAGCTTTTTGTGCCAGTCAACCCTCTGCCAGTACTTTAGATAAAATTATCTTAAAACGTATATAAAATAATTTCTTACAAATGCAATATAATAAATACTTATTCTACCTACAACATTAAAATATTTTTGTAGCTACTTAACTAATTGGTGTTTGATAAAATATGTCTTCGTTATAATATTTATTATATGAAGATAATCCGCTAGATACCGATAATTATATTGTGTTCGTTTATTGTTAGCATGCACTACTACATGACCATGTACCAGTCTACTCTACCGATGTGTTGCTCTACAGTTGGTCAACCTAATACTGGCCGAGTCGTCGGGATGTCGGCTTTGGGTCCCAGGCAATGTGGTGGAATTTGATATTTATGTTTTGACAATGCCAATACCAGGTTGGTACGTTTCGTGGGAATGTTGACTGACTGCAAGTGCTACATAAGTAGGTACTTATCATCAGGTTCATGGTTCCTTCGGTGCAAACTACTGTTTGGTTTTCTTTGTCAAAAACACCAAATGATTAATTTAATATGTTTCTCTCATTTAACTAATACAGCTACAGCGCAGTGCGATTAGCAAAGAATTGTGCTGGTCTGGATCGGACGATGAATGAGGCGTGTCGCCTGCGCAGACTAGAGCCAGCCGGCCGAGTGGTGCGGCGCGTGGCCGTGCAGCGGCGTGACGCCCGCCAGGCGCGCCAGCGCCGCGCAGCGCCCGCACGGCGCGCCCTCGTCGTCCGTGGGCGGCGCCTCGCCCGCCGCCTCGCTCGCCTCGTACCCGCAGCGGCCGCACGCCTCCTGGGAATCGTCGACACGCGACTCAGCACCGTCGGCCGCTCGCAGCCGAGCGGGGCCGAGCGTGCGCCCCACCTTATGGGCGTCGTCGTCCAGGCTGGCCAGCAGCGGCTCCCGGCTGCCGCCGCGCCCCGCCACGCTCTCGGCCGTGGTGGACGGCGACACGGACGCCGGCGGCGGCGGCGGCCGCGGCAGCGGGCCGGCTGCGGGCGGCGGCCGCGCCGGCACCGAGCTGGCGCGCTGCAGGGCCTCGGCGCCGGCGGCGGCGCGCGCCTCTGCCCCGGCCCGCCGCGAGTCCGAGAACTTCTTGCGCTTGCGTTTGAGTGCAGCGAGCGCCGACAGCGGATGCAGCGGCCCGCCGCGGGTACTGCGCTCCGGGCTGCGCTGTGAGTCGCTGCCCGAGTCCGACCGGTCGCTGCCACTAAGCGATGTCATTGATTTATTTAATGTATGTGTATAGAGTATATCAGAGATTATGTACAGACAACATTTGCGTGAAGCTAATTTTGCTAGCTACAATGGTATTTGTGGTACATTACGTAACCCAGTTGTTTTTTTCCCATAATAGGAATTAAGTACTATAAACGTGTTATTTTCCAACTCATAATCTTTTCGACTGACCTGGGTGTTTGTCGCGCATGGTCGCAGACAGAATCCTCAGACCTAGAGCGTCCAATCAGGCGCGAGACTCGCGCTGCACGAGCGGCCTCGATAATAGTTCCCCAGCGGCGCTTGTGCGAGGCAGGCTTGCGGCGCGCGGCGGCCATGCCGGCAGCGCTGGCGCCGTCCGACAGGCTGGACTGGCTGGCGCGCAGCCGGGTGCCCAGCAGCGCCGTCAGCGAGGCGTGGTGCGCCGCGCCGTGCGACCCGCCGTGCTCGTGGTGCAGCGATGCCAGGAACTCGTCCACGGGTGCCAGCGACCCGCCCGGCGCGATGTTGAAACCTTTCATTAACCTGCGTTCCTTCTGACGGTTCTTCTTACCGCCTCCGCCACCTGCGATGTCCAGACAATATTTCACGTTCATTGTTTACGTTTCAAATAACGGCAGGCTTTGCAGTAATTGTAAAAAAAAATTATTATTAAAAAAACAAAATACCCGACTGCACACTAAAAAAAGAGTAAAACAAGCCCCACAATACAAATTTACTGAATATAATTTATAAATGTTGATGGAAAGCATCGCAGGCGGGGACCAACAGAGGCTTATTTATAGTCATTTCTGTTGTGCACCATTTAGCAGAATTTTCGTTGGTGGCGGTCAAGGTGGTCCCCGCCTGCGATGCTTTCCATCAACATTTATAAATTATATTCAGTAAATTTGTATTGTGGGGCTTGTTTTACTCTTTTTTTTAGTGTGCAGTCGGGTATTTTGTTTTTTTAATAATAATTTTTTTATTTATAACTTTTTAGCTGTTTTTATTTAACGAAAATAGACGTGTGCCCTTATGCGTGTGCCCGCATTCGGGCTGTATACTCGAGCACATCCCCCTCCGCACCGCGCCGCGCGCCGCATGCCAGGCCACGCCCTATCTTTTTGCTTGCTAACGCATGAGTTGCTTTGCGTTGACGCAGAATTAACATGTTCCCGTGGGAATTTTGAGAAAAAACGTATCCTATATTAATTACTCCCGTGATTGAAATGAATCTAATGATACCGCATACATATTTTTTTAAAGGGAAATTTAGAAAAAATATTATTATGTCTTTATCCCGTGGGACTTTTAGGATAAAATGTATCCTATGACACTCCCGTAATCAAGACAAATCTAACGATACCTCATACATCAAAATCCATCAAGCCGTTTAGGCTACAGGAGGTCACAAAGGAAAAGACATACATACATACTTACATACACTCGAAAAACATTACCCTCCTTCTTTGGCAGTCGGGTAAAAATAACCAGAATCCAAAAGTATGATCATTAAAATAAAATATTTTTATTGAAAAACAAAGATCACACTTTTTACAGCTAGCTCAATTGATGTAAGTAATAATAAGTTTTGACCTAATTACATTGATAAGAAAGAGTTAACTAAACTAGATTATTATAATTATGATGATATAAAGAGACACAACTTTGAAAAGTAAAGTGCCTAAGGAACACCTGAACTAGATTTATTTAAACCTGTGTTTCAGGGTATCTTGTTACCATAGTTCAATGGACGACATTATTCTAAACTGGTGACCCCGACGTGATCATCATCATACCTCCAAAATATAAATATATGATATGATAAAAATATTATTGATTATTGACTAAGAAAGGACAAGTATTCTTACGTTCTAAAATTACTCTAATAGTACGTTACTAACTAAGCTATTAAGGCTTATTTTAACACTTCTAGTATTTTTTCCGTGTCTATGTAGTTGAGGCTCTGAAGATGTTCGATTCGAATAGCATTACACTACACTTCTTATAACTTACTCTATTCCTAATATTTTTCAAGCCGCGGACTCTTAGTTTCATTTCCTCGGGGGAGATAATTTTCTGGACAAGGGTCTTGGTAACGTCACTAGATTGCAACTTATCACTGGGGTATATGGCAAAAGAACTTAAATTGTCTGGGCGTATAAATTTGTCCTCTCCTTTCTTTACCATATTATCATAGGAAATCTCTTCTGATTTCCGCTCCGTTTCCACTACTTGCTTAATTTGTTTGAGGGCCATTTCAATGTCTTGTTGTCCTTATCTGACAAGCATGACTATCTTACTATCTTACTAGACATAGAAATAGATTAAGTCAGCCTTTATTTAGATTAGCAAAAGTGCATAAGTCGTTCATGGGATTATGTGTTAAATGTTATAATAAAATCCCAACTGAAATACAAAATCTTAATGAAAGTAAATTTAAATTATGTATAAAGAAAGTATTATGTAGGAAAGCATACTACAAACTAAATGATTATATAGAAGATAAAAATGCTTGGAGGGTGGCTGGTTTGACTGCACAGGATAAAAATTGTTAAGGTTAAGAGGAATTTTGATCTCAATTATTAAATTATTCACCATGTTGTTAATTGTTGATAAACTGGATTTTTGAAAATGTGAGAGCCCTGTAACTTATTATAATTGAGTTAGACTTATAGTATATTGGTACTTGTGTACATTGGCGGTGGCACGGGCACTGGACCGCTCGGTTCCCTATAATATGGTTGAGTTGGGCGGTGCTGGTGTACGTGTCATGTTCGTGAACGGACGCCGCCTATTGGGACTGGTCAACTCGAGACTGTCTAAAGTTGCTGTCCCTGAGGGTTATTTCTTTTTTGGATACTTTGGTTAAACACTAGTGTTACACTGTTCTCACATAATGGAGCTATCTAAATTATGTAACAATGCATTGTAAAAAGTGATTGAAAAAGAGTAACCATGGAGTTTCTTGCTCGTTCTTCTCCATAGGAATCTACACTTTGGAACGAGCAAATAGCTTCACTAGAGGACAGACGGACAGACTGACACATAAAGTTAAACCTTATGATATTTTTTTTGCTTGACGTTCAAAAGTGCCTTTTTTGTTCTATTTCAAATAAAGAATTTGATTTGATTTGATTTGACTTGGAGATTTTGAATTGTTACATGTGCCTGGACCGATTTTTGTTTCAGTGACTGGTAGAGTATCGCCATGTGGGAGGCCCCATGCGAGACCTTACGGCAAAGGTTGGTGACGCGGAGCTTCTGGTCGCTATTCATTTTTCCGCCCGAAACTATAGAGCAAACCTCTGTCAAGATTGAATCTATTGATCCCAACCATTTCTGAATTTCCGGCGTGGAGACGAATTCTATTTCATTCTCCTGGGATCCTGGTGGTTCTAGGTCTCTTGGGTGGTGTTGTTCGGTAGGCGGCGGCGTTGGAGGTGGACTACGCCTCAGTAATTGGCTACGTCCAAAAGAGCCTAACCCTTAGGACGCTCACTGTACCTACCTTTAATCCTTTTCAAGATATTCATAGATGAAATACCTAAGGGTACTGAAATGTATCCGTAGCGCTGCCTTGGATTCCTAAGCATACCTAACAGTTTGCGTCACAACTACTAACCTGGAGCTCCGGCGTTGACGGTGGAGGTGTTCATGCCAGAGTTGCGCAGGATCTCGACGAGCTCGCAGCGGAAGGCGCTGACGTCCTGCTTGATCTCGTTGACGTCGTCCTCGGTGACGCCGCCGCTCTCCGCGCGCCGCTGCTGCACCGTCACGTAGCGCCGCACCAGGTTGCGCATGATGCCCTGCGCCGACTCGTATGTTACTGCCTGCCCCGCCATTAATAAACAAACAGAAACATAAACGTGCCAAACCCTCACCCACCTGATAACGGTAATCCCGCTCATTTGCTTGTTTGGCTTTTCGCTGCAAATGAAATATATTTATAATAATTATAATAAATATCAAAGACAAGCAGCAGTCCCCGGCGTTGTGTAGCAGTACCCGTATGGTGCGCATGTGCTCGCGCTTGGCGCGCGCGTGTCCACACAGGCGGCGCTGCAGCCAGCGCCAGGCGTACAGCGCCGACTTGGGCGACGGCAGCACGTTGAAGGGCGGCGGCGCCGTGCCCCCCTCCTCGAAGTAGCTGATCCACAGCTTGCTGCGAGCGAACTTCCACTCCACGTCCGCCCGTTCCTGCAGAGACAATCATCGTCCATCGTCAAACCGCAGTGGAACATAATGTAACACACAAAATTAACCGCTAGAGGATTTTTGGAATTAGTCCGTCAGTAGGGTAGTGATTTTTTGTTCAAGAAAACAACATTTTTATGGCATAGCTTGGTAGAAAATGTGCGTGTGTGTCTCTCGATGAAATATCATTCATATTTTGTATCTATCGCCTCCCGTCATGCTACGTCGGTGTTCTGACATCTTAGGGTAAACTTGCCTAATTCGTACCACTTAAGGAGAACCTCGAAAATTTTGGAAATGAACAATAATACACATTTATTTATATTAAGTAATTAGAATTAAACTAATGTTGTATTAGTATTTCGACAAAAAATAACATAAATCTTATAAACTTCTGAGAAATAAACAATTTTCAAAAACTTAAAAAAAGTACGATTTAAGACCATTCATCTTAAATCGTATTGACATTTAATGCCACCATAGGCGCTGGTAACTATTACCCATGCCGAGATATAGACGAGGTACGATTTAGGCGCAGGTACGAATTAGGAAAGTTTACCTATATTTGTCCTTATTAAGTTGGCACATGAACTTAATTACACAAGTCTCTCACAGAAATAAGCTGGTACGAGTGGTTCATCATGGCAATGAGCAGGTTAAGCAGCACGATGACGTTGATGACGGCGTACGTGCCAAACATGAGCATGCCCCAGAACCGCGTGAAGATCTTGATGCCGTCCAGCTCAAACGAATCCAAGTCAACCAGCCCGAACGCCGCCCAAAACAGTGTTTGCATCGTCTCGAACAAACTGCAACATCATTTTGTTTTTTAGTATAATCCTTGGAAACCAGTGGGGAAGGAGGTAAGTAGATAGGTATAGTACGTGGTGGCATTACTTAGCAAACCGGCGCCACACGATGCAGGCGTCGGGATCTGGGAAGGTGCCGTTGGCAGTGAGAGAGGTGCCGCCGGTCGTGCAGCGCTTCTTCTCCATATCCGCGTAGTACCACAGGAGCTGGTTCAAACCTGCCGGGTGTTAGTCGACGTCTATATTAGTTTTAAAACCTAAGGACAATCTTACTCCTGGCTATTTCCCAATTAACTAGCTATGCGTACGTTATCCAGATTCGGCTGAATATCAGCATTTTACAAGAAGTGAATGACATTTATAGTTCTCCACTTCTCAATAAAATATCTATTATAGGTATATGTACATATATATAAAAATGAATCGCAAAATAATATGTTGGTAAGCGCATAACTCAATATCGCCTGGACCAATTTTACTGATTCTTTTGTGTGTTATTGTCAGGAGAAGGTTCTTATGCTCGCAAAGGAGGAGGCGGAGCGCGTGAGGGAACTATCCTCCTCGCGCCCCAGCCGCCGCAGAAGGAGACATTCCGGACGTCGGGGATCGAGAGATGATCTCCGGCCACCGTAAGCGCGGGTCTGCGGACGGCGAGTAAGGGCAGCTCGCCGCCCGACCAGAACCGGACCCGAGCGTACGGCGCGTAGCGATCCGCGCGCGCCTCAAAGAGCCAATAGACCACCACAGCCGGGGCCCAATAGGGCTGATATTTAGCCGGGGCTGCCGGGTAAGCGCAATGAGGCACCGCGACCTCGGCCCAGAGCAGGAGAAGGAACGGGGGGGTTTTTAGTCAGTAAGAGTCTGACACTCTCTCTCGCCTTACCCTGGGCGGGAGAAATAATTTGATGATTTTCCCCTGACAAAAAAAAGCCCTAGCACACTCACCACAAGAAAACGCAAAGATCACCAATATGTCCAGGACGAAAAACTTGAGGATGTCGAGAACCATCCGACTAAGCGAGACTTGCAACGGGCCCAGGTGAGGGTTCACGCTGAAGATGTACACCAGCTTGAGGCTGCTGAATATGTTGGCTGCCGAGAACAGGCCCTCGGACAGCAACATCGGGTCCCAGGCGTCCCACTGCTCGCGCGGCTGGTTCCACTGCATGCCGGCGGCCATCTCCCGCCGCACCTGTCCACATCTGCGCTGTACTCGTGCACCAGCAACACGCAGTGCGCTGCACTGTCTACTGTTTTACCTGGAAGTGCGAAACGATCCGCAGTGCGACGGTGGCGACGTACAGCGAATTCGTGACGAAATCTATCACGTTCCACATGTCGTGCACGTACTCCCGCAGCCCCATGTCCCACAGCTGCTTCACCTCGCTCCATATCAGACCTGCGCCCAATGACATAAGGAATTTTCATGTCACGTTACGCAAAGCCGAGTAAACTCCATAGAAGTAAAGAATACTGACCGCTGACCCACGCAAGGATGAGCCATTCGACGAGTGAGGGCGGAGCGCCGCGCCGAGACAGAGGCTCGCCGTGGGGCGCAGCACCCCATAGCAATCCACCCGCCGCGGTCTCTATCCGTTGCGAAGCCAGTATCAGTAGAACTGAAATAATATCGTTGTAACATATCTAGAAACGATGGCACTATGAAGTTGATATACTTTTTAGGTTGAGTTAGGTAGACATATTTTCGTGATATAAATGTCAGAAGATATTGATATTAAATTAATTATTATGTCAAACATAAGCCGTTCAACATAATACTTGGTTGTTTGGTTAGTAGCCTTGTGAGGTATGTGCATAGTGCGTGTAAGAGTAAGGGAATGTCGCTTACATAGGAACATGAAATAACTGGCAGAGTGGCACAGGAACTTGATGAAGGGCTTGCGCAGCGTGCGGCCGGCGGAGGAGTGCGGCGCCACGATGTACGCCAGCGAGTACAGCGGGAACATGGCGCCGATGCGCACCATCTCGGCCGCCTGCAGCAGCATGTTCTTGCGCCGGAACCCGGGCACGCTCTCGTACCAGATGGACGCCAACAGCTGTTGCACGTTCGGGTGCGCCACGAACTGCAACAAGTGCCACATGTCCGTCCCTTATCCAACATAGGTACATAAATGGGTGTGGATATAATATAACTCCATCTAGTCTCTATCGTTGCTCGAGAAGAACAAAATTGTATCCTAAGGTTCTGTTGTTAGAAAACATTTACACAGGACAATTTTCAGGACGTCCTGGTTTGAAGATCACGAATGGGTTGACTTGAACTGGAGTGATACCACGGCCTCACAGAAAACCGGTGTGAAATAACCGTACAACAATAGTGTTTGCCGTGTCGATGAGGTTACCGGATAAAGTTCGACGTGTTAATAATTTGGACGAAGTAAACAGATCCATTCATCGAGTTCATAATTGGTTTACAGTCAATAATTTAGCACTTAACGAGAGAAAAACAAAATGTATTAAATTTAGCTTGCCCAACGTACACAATAATGATTGTGACATAATTTTAAATGGGCAAAAGTTAGAATTTGTTAACGAGACTATGTTCCTAGGTATTACGCTAGACAATAAACTTCAATGGGGTTCCCACATAAAGACGCTTTCGGGAAGACTGAGCTCAGCTGTTTTTGCAGTTAGACAGATTAGACAGCTCACAGACGTGAACACAGCAAGGCTTGTTTATTTTAGCTATTTTCACAGCATTATGTCGTACGGAATTTTGCTATGGGGTCGAGCTGCGGAAGTAGATTCAATATTTATTTTGCAAAAGCGGGCTATCCGAGCGATATATAACTTGTCCCCTCGTAAATCTCTGAGAGAACTATTTAAAACGATAAATATCCTAACGGTACCTTGTCAGTTTATATATGAAAATATTATGTACGTAAGGAAAAATTTGCAATTATTTGAAAAAAGAAGCGATAGACATAATTTTAATACAAGAGGCAAAGATAGGCTGGCTGTGCCACGATTCCGTCTGTCCAAAGTACAGAAATCCTTTATGGGGTTCTGTGTAAATTGTTACAATAAAATTCCAAGAAGTGTATTAAATCTTAATGAACGAAAATTTAAAACTTATATTAAACGCGAATTATGTAGACAGGCATACTACAAACTTTCAGATTATATTGAGGATAAGAATGCCTGGCAGCATGTTGGTTCGGCTCTACTGGACAATTCTCAAATATGTAGTCAGTAGTTATTAAAATTCTCAAAATTAATGAAACCTTGAATGAGTTTATATAGAAGCATTCTTTTGGATTGTGAGTACGCATATGTGAGCGCCATGTACGAGACAACAAAGGATTAAAATTTTAATGATAGATTAGATAGACCATCATTTGTTCCTTTTTTATTAACAACTTGTCTCTGCATTGTTCTCACATAGGGGTACAGTAATGTATAAAAAATGTATTATTGATGAATTGTAAAACAAATATTTTTTTTAAAAGAGTAACGATGGAGTTTCTTGCTCGTTCTTCTCCATTCGAAACTACAATTTGGAACGAGCACCTAGCTTCACTGACGACCAGACTGACAGACTACTATTCTATTTTGACGTTTCAAAAGTACCTATTTATGGTTTATTTGGAATAAATGATTTTGATTTGATTTGATAAAGATATTTAATTTAATCCTTACACCCCCAATCCCTCCCATCCCATATAAACTTCCAAACTATTCTATTGGTAAGAATGCCTTAGTCAAAAGTCAATAATAATTTATTTCAATTAGACCCTTACAGGCAGTTTTAAACGTCAAACAAAATTTTAAGATTCAGTCTGGCGTTCAGTCAGAAGAACGAGCAAGAAACTCCATGGTTACTCTTTTTTACCCGACTACTGCAAAGCAAAAGGAGGGTTATGATTTTAACAGGCTATGTATGTAAGTATGTTCATCTGTTCCCTCGTAACTTCTTAACTGCTTATCAGAGTTAAATAAATGACATATCATTAGAAACGTCTTAATTGTCCGCTGGTTATAGGCTATATGGGGTATCACAAAATCTAATTTGGCGTCCATCAGCGGACAAATAATTGAAAGTAAAAAAATTTAAAGCGCTTTACTTGAAAATTTATTACATATATAAGTATATATATATAAAAACTTAAACCCAACTACGACAAAAACGACGCTGTAAAGGATTAAAACAAGATTTTCAGAATACTGAAAGGCGTAGTCACACGTTGTCAAAGTGCTGATGATAGGTGGTATTATGTAACATGTGACTACGCCTTTCAGTATTCTAAAAATGTTGTTTTATACTTATTCAGCGTCGTTTTTTGTCGTAGTTCAGTTTTAGTTTTTATACTTTAAAGTCAAAAATCATTTATTTCAATTACAGACAGGCACTTTTGTACGTCAAACAAAATTTAAAGATATAAAGTGTCAGTCTGTCCGTCCGTCGTTTTAGTGAAGCTATTTACTCGTTCTAAAGTGGAGATTCCGATGGAGAAGAACGAACAAAAAGCTATATGGTTACTCTTTTTAAATCAGTTTCACATACGGATTCCGTATCCAAACGCTGGTTTAAATATGTGAGAACAGTGTAACACTAATATTCAGAGAAATATAAAAAGTAGGAATAAGGAAAATCGAATTCGTTTGATTCGGTTATGACATACGTACGTACGTACCTTTTTCTGCCGTAGTTTTATAGCAAGTTTAAGCCTGGAGAGACGCATCCTCTCCGGCGCGCCCGGCTCCGGTAGCGGCACCTGCGGTGAGCCCGTCTCGTGGTTGAGCAGCACTTGCAGTTCATGCGAGGTTCGCGTGTGATCCAGCAGAGCCGTGGCGAACTCCTGGCACTGCGTGCGCAGCTCCTGGTACTCAGTCTTAAACTCGTGCTCGAGCGCCGACAGCCGCCGCAGCTCCCACGACAGCTCAAACGCGGTCAGTATTGGATCCTTGGAAGAGAGCGCGATGAGTGAAGGCGAGGCGAGCGCGCGGTACGCGTTGATGCGCGAGCGCGAGTGGCGCAGCGAGTCCTCGCGGCGCGAGCGCACGCACTCGTCGCAGCCGCAGCGCACGTCGTGCGGCACCGGCAGCGCCGCGCCGCGGTCCAGCAGCAGCTTGATGATCTCGTAGCTGTCGCGGTGCGCCGCCAGAATCAGCGGCGTGATGTCCGCCGTGAACGTCGCCGTCTCCGGCGGCAGCGCCTCCCAACTCTGTAATATGTCAACCTCACGCCACAGTTGTTTGTTTGTTCTAAGAAAGAAGTCAAACGAAGGGCGCGTGGGACAACAATCAGATACTCACATTAGGCTCTCCGGGCTTTCGCGTGCGCTCCTCGTGATCTAGCAGCGCCTCGACAGCCTCGACGAACTCTTCGGAGATGGCATGCAGCAGCGCATCGCGCGTCTCCACGCCGAACTCCAGCAGCAGCTCGACCATCTCGAGGTTCTCGTTGTCAATGGCCATGAGCAGCGCGCTGCGGCCGAGCGGCTCCACGCAGTCGACGTTGATGTGGCCGGTGTCCCGTGCACGCTGCAGCACTCGCCGCGTGCCCGCCACGTCGCCCCGCTCCACTCCCAACAAATATTTCTTCTCCTCCAGCGACAGTACCGCCATCTCCTGGTGCGGACGCACCACATTTTCCTCCTCTGTCATTCCATGGATACTGTGCCGCTACAACCAAACATTTGGTATTACTTAAAACTATTGTATAGTGTAGAAACGTCAAGGTATCGTCAAGCAATAGAGCACCAATCGTAATCCTAACATAATATCGATCTCCCGCCCCGGCCGTGCCTCAGGGAGCAGTATACGCGAATTAAATGTGTCTCGTGGTTTTACCGTATGTAGTACGTATACTCCTCAGACTGACATGACCGGATGTAGATTATAGATCACAAGTCACCCAAACACATGATGGCGTCGCAACGTCGCCCTCGCGCGTCACTTCCGTGGACAGTTCACATAATACTCGTATTTGTTACCCACTGCGGTAGTGTGTTGTGTGTTATGAAATATTGATAATTAAGCTATCCCATACAATTCCACTGCACATAGCATATAAGAAACATTTGGGCCTGCACAGTTGATGGAGGCTGGACAACCGACTGCTGCACACGAAAAAACTCTATATGTGATCTACAAATTGTTGTTCCGGTTCTGGATGCGATGTGTGGCGATATTTGTATGTTTTTAGTTGCACGAAACAGAAAAGAGAAAATCCGAGCATGGGGCAGTGTTTTTTTTTGCAAAATGGATGGTGCATGGACGTCCTCTAACCGCTGCCACTCATAATGCAAATGGATCGCAGGAGGTGGGTACAGAACCTCGTCGCGCCGAATGTATAAAGCCCTGTTGGGCTCGGTTGACTCGAAGAAGCGAGCAGTAGCAACTTAGCAAGTGATGTCGCTCCAGTAGCCGTTCCGACAGCGCGGCCCATATTGTGCAGCTGTACGAAGCAATAACAGAAACGGGCCGGCCAGACGTCGGCCGTGTCCGCAGCCGATGACTAAGTGCTGCTAGAGTAAATGTTTACGCGACTGAGCTCCGATGCCGAGCCGCGAGATACTTCAATAAACCGATTTATTGTTTCATTGATAGCCGAAGCGCTCGTACTCGCGCGCCACTTGCTAATCATTTTCTCTCACTCTGCACTATTTTTGCTATTTAAAACCAAAAAAACAACAGAATATGTATTCGCACGCACAGGTACCTGCAGGGCTCTTAAATAATAACTGTGACCGAAGAGTTGTACGTGTACGTTGCCTAGCGTTGACAATAAAACGTTTAAGTACTGTAAGAGTCAAATAAGTGATTGCTAAATACTGCAGAGAAGAGTTACAGGACACGTGTCAGGTGTAATGTGGTACATTGCTACGAGAAAGTATTCAGAAGTTCTGCAATATTTTCCCTTTTAGCACAGTTACTAAGTAAATACTAGCCGAAACCTCCAAAGGGTAATTATTGATGTACATCACTTTGTGACCTGGTGTTTTTTAGACCTTGCGTCCCAAATCGGGTAAATAACTATTGTATTGTTTGAGCCACATCGTCAAACCACATTGGCATAAAGGACTATGAACAATTAAAATTTGCTCGCAGGTCTATAGATCTCTACAACCCTTCTTGGAAACAAACGTGTTTGTTGTTCAATGTTTAAGTATTTATTGTTTCGTAACCGTATATAACATCAACCGTATATCCCAACCTCCGCAATACTTTGTTACCGTGCATGTTTTAAGGGGTAAATAGAGTACCGAGGCGGTGCCAGTGGCGCCCTCCCACGAGTAAATATCTTCATTTGCATGTCAAAAGACTTCCATATTTCACTTTGAGTTGAATTCAGTCGTGTCAAAATGTTTGCGCGACGCCGCGACGCGCCGCTCCCGCTATTGAGCCTGTTTGAAGCTTTGATAAACATACAAACTGTGTTTCTCTGACTAAAGCTCCGCGGTGATGTTATGTAGTGCTGGAAATATCGTACATTGTGTAATGCATCTAATTACTTTCAATTATTATTGTATCTACTTAAGCTTTCTTGTTTCTACTCATTCGATCACATCTGCTCATTCATACACGTTCACTCTTATCGAACACATCATTACTTCCTTATTATCTTCATATCAAAATCCGTACTGTCATAGGCCAAATATATAACGTTAGTAGACCGAGTAATTATTTACATATTCTATAACATTATTTTTAATCTTGTCTGATATTTTATCCATTACGAATACTTTATCGGCACTGAGGTATACTTAGTCATGTGGTTCTATCAAAGCACTTTGATTTAAATTATTTTGTTGTATGTTAATTTGGTATGTTTGTAACGAATTTGAAAAAAAAAAAAAAATGACATTGACGCATCTCCTATGATCACGATCATGACCTCAATAAAGCAACTTCTACCTCTTAGTGGCTCGTCTCCATTAACTTCATGCTAAGCTAAATGAAGGGAAGTAATCAAGCTGGCACGTATATACAGCATCCACGGACAGACATCACCATAGGCTCACTAAAAATAACATTTCGTAGCGTTATGGACGTAGAAATGGCTACAAAACAATAACAGTAACGTGCAGGTACCTCACGGGTTAAATAAAATACCAAATCAATATGGATGCATTGCAACCGCAAAGCTAATTATATACCTACGAGCACATATACATTGTACCATAGGTTAAACAGGTGCAGCTGCACACCTAGGCTGCGGGCTGCTGGAAGTCCTGCTTGTTCAGGAAGGAAGTCCACTTTACCTCGAATCACATGCGCATTGGGACGGAGCGAGAAAACAGATATTTAGGTATGCGTGAGTTGCGACGCAACTTGCAGATGTAGAGGCTTGTCAATATACCTTGACCTTGTTGTCCAGCGGGCGCGGCTCCGGCGCCAGGAGCGCGCCCAGCTCCACGCGGCAGGTGGACGGACGCCGCGCGTCGCCGCCGCCACCGCCGCCGCTGCCAGCCGACATCTCCGAGCCGCCGCTCTCTGCGCACACACAGCACACACGCTACAGTCAGCGGCGGCCGCGCCTTGCCTAGCGCAGCCGCCGCAAGCGCCGCGAGCGCCGCGGCCTCCGCGGGCGCTGGCGAGAGCGGCCTGCGCAGCGATTCACCGCGTTGCAATGCGGACGAGGATATATTTAGCAAGGGCGGGCGGAGGACTGCCTTGCCGCACGAACACTCACCGGCGCCATCTCCGCTGCGCGCGCCATCCCGCGTCCGCTCCGTGAACTGAAACAGAGTGCGGTGTGAACATCGTGCGGAACATGCGCTCTCCGGGCGCCAGGGGGCGCTCACCTGCACGCGGCGCTCGCGGCGCGCGGCTATCTGCCGCGAGTGGCGGCGCAGCGCCTCCAGCGTGCCGCGCGCTCAGCGCTCGCCCGCCGCCACCTCCGCGCCCTGCAACATTCGGGCATGAGTTCAAAGCTCCTTATTTATTGTTATTGCATCGTAAAATATTTTTGTGTACAGGTTTGTATACGTTGCCGTGTCATAAAAGCTACACGTTAATTCTGCGCTCCGTGTATGCTCTGGCCGAGCGTGGCTCGTCCCTCTCAGGGTATCTGGCTTCATTGGCGTTTGTTTACACATACCCAATGCATGTCTTTTCCTAAACACGAACACCTCATAAATTGTAAATGTACTACATTCTAAAATATACTTTAAGTCGGACACCGTTTCCTACAATATCAGTGGGCCAGTAAGGCAAGGTGTCCAAAGAGAATTGTACTCGAACTATAAGAAGATATATTTATGTACCTATGTGTATACAGTCCACACTGCGTAAACTTTTTTTAGTTCAAATATAAGAGGTGTAAGGAAATCACGTCGTTTTAGTTAAAATCTAATCCCACAATCAAAAAACAACTTTATTCGCTTAAACATATGGTCCATAACGAGCCGGATTGTGTTTATGTATATCGAGTCAAACCACAAGCCGTGAAAAAAAAAAAAAAACGCATTCTTTAGATAAGGATTCGCCCGGTGATCGGAAAAAGTGTTTAATTCTAACGTCTTGCAAATAATTAGGAGTTATTACTTGACTTTTAAGTGAATAGAACATTTTGTGAACAAATTTAAACAAGTGTGGCCTTTTAATTACAAGACATTGAGTGAGTGAATTACTAGACTTTTGGAGGTATTAAAAGGTCAAGAAATTTATAGTGAGTGTGTGTGGGATTACGATAACTACAGTCCTTACAAACCAATAACAATGCAGGTGCATATTCAGTTGCAAGATGAGTTAATGAACAACTTAATAAAAGCCGAGCGGAACTTTAAGAAAACGCCCAAAGATAGGATGAAAAGACAATATTTAGAAACACGATTGGAGGTACTTGAACAACAGTATAAAGAATTTAAAGAGCAACATAAAATTATCCTTTCAAAGGCTTCGAAGGAGAAGAAAGAAACATATTTCACCGAGGGCTTTTACGAGAATTTTGAGGAACTGTACGTGCAATACAAAACTAGTTTAAGAGAAGCTTTGCAGCAGTTTATGCCACCGCCATTGTCTCAAGTGCCAACCGCCATTATGACGTCTACTACTACCGATAATAACTTTAATGATATTAAGCTACCGCGTATCACATTACCTAAATTTGAAGGAAAATACGAAGAATGGCAAACATTCTATGATATGTTTTCGTCATTAATTCATAAGAACAAATCCATAACAGCTGTTCAAAAATTACATTATTTAAAAGGTAATTTAGCGGGTGAAGCTTTAAATTTATTACGTAATTATTCAACGACTGAAGCAAATTATGAGGAAGCATGGAAACAACTAGTAAAACGGTATGATAACAAGCGATACAATTGCAACGCTATTCTAAAAAAGATGTTTTCTCTTAAGAAAATAAATAATGAGTCGGCCTATGCAATAAAACTATTACTTGACACCACATCAACGTGTTTAAAGTCACTCGAGAGTATAGGCCTTAGCACGGAAACATGGGATGTAATTATTGTTTACATAACCGTTGCAAAGTTAGACAACGAATCTATAAAACAGTGGGAACAAAAACTTAGTGTTTCAAGCGATGATTTTCCTACCTGGCCACAATTGAAAGATTATTTGGAGTACAGGTTTAGGTCATTAGAGATGATTGATGATGCCAACGCTCAACGATCAACACAAGCAGCGAAGTCTGTACAAAAGCCAAAATCATTTCACGCGTCTGTGGAAAACAAACCTAGAACAAAAGAAGTTGAGTGTGCCATGTGTAAAGAGAATCATTACGTATATCATTGTAAACGGTATCATTGTAAACGGCGAAGGAAAGACAAAACTTTGTGCAAAACAGCGGGTTGTGTTTCAACTGCTTGGCTCCCACACATTCCGTGAACAAATGCCGTCAATCATTGAGCTGCAGAAAATGTGGTAGAAGACACCATACTTTGCTACACTTCGAGAGAGACAACAACGAGGCAACCAAATCTATGAGTGAGGTAACAGCGTCATCGAGCCAGCAACACGAGAAGTCGAGCACATCACAAGGTGACACACGCATTACTACGACATTTACTAGGCAGGAGCTGCAGCCCACGCGAGTGCTGCTTGCTACGGCCAGAGTCAAGGTATTTAATTCAAATGGTTTTTCACAAATTATACGAGCTTTAATAGACCAGGGGTCTCAAGCCTCTTTAGTTACCGAGGCTACTGTTCAATTGCTTGGCTTAACTAGAATTCCTGTAAATGGTTTTGTGTCAGGGCTAGGCGATGGTCATACGAGAATTAAACACAGAGTTTCACTTCAAATACAATCACGCTACAATCCAGCCAACATAATCCAAGTTAATGCTTATGTTATGAATTCTTTGACGTCTATGCTGCCCACTACCAATCTGAGTTCTCATGAGTGGGTTGAAATAAAAAAATTACCTTTAGCTGATCATACATATGCAACACCAAGCAAGGTCGACATTTTGCTAGGCGCAGAAGTGTATAGTGAAATATTGCTTGATGGTATGATTAGGCAATCACAAGGTACTTTGTTAGCACAAAATACAGTTTTAGGGTGGATTATTTCAGGAAAAGTTTCAAATGGATCCATCTCGGCCGCAAAAGATAATCTTACCAGTTTGCATGCATGTTTGGAAGAGAATGATTTGCTGAAGAAATTTTGGGAAATGGAAAACGAACCTAATATGCTGCAAAAAGAGATGACAGAAAGTGAGAAGGAATGTGAGAATTTATTTAATTCAACTACTACTAGAGATGATGAAGGAAGATTTATAGTAAGATTATCATTTGCAACAGATAATCCGAAGTGCCAGTATGGTAATTCAAAGGAGAAAGCTATCAAGATGTTGGAGAGTTTAGAAAGAAAATTAACAAGAGATCCTAAATTGAGAATAGAGTATAACAAAGTGTTTGAAGAATACCTAAGTTTAAATCACATGACAAAGCTAAATGAGAGAGAGATAGAGAATACACGAGCTGTTTATCTTCCTCACCATGCAGTGGTGAGAGAAGACAAGGATACAACAAAGGTGAGAGTGGTTTTCAATGCGTCAAGCAAGGGAAACAACAATGTCTCCTTAAATGATGATCTTCTGGTTGGGCCAAAGCTGCAGCAAGACCTGAGGCACATACTAATGAGATGGAGAAGTCATAAAATATGTTTAGTTGCAGATATTACAAAATTTTACCGAATGGTCCGAGTCGCCGATAAAGACACTGATTTCCAAAGAATCGTATGGAGGTTTGATCCATCTGAGCCCATACAGCATTATAAGCTAACCAGGTTAACGTTTGGGACAGCATGTGCACCATACTTGGCAGTTAAAGCGTTACAAAAACTAGCAGAGCTTGAGGGACACAAGTACTCGATAGCTGCAAAAATAACAAAGACGGACTATTACATGGATGATTTGATGACTGGAAGTGAAACAGTAGAAGAAGCATTACAAATACACGATGAAATGAATAACTTAATGAAATCAGGTGGGTTCGAACTTCAAAAGTGGAACAGTAACAATAACATATTTCTGGAAAAAATTGGTAAAAAAGAAGAGCAAGAGAGTGACCAGAAAACGCCTATCAAGTTTAATGATTTAATCAAGGTTCTTGGAGTCGGTTGGTGTCGACAATCTGATAACTTTGAATATGTACTTAACTTACCTCAAACCGAAGAGCCGATCACTAAAAGACACATTCTGTCTGTTATAGCCAGACTGTATGACCCATTAGGTTGGATTGCCCCAGTGGTAGTAATTGCCAAAATATTCATTCAAAAACTTTGGAAATCAAGCCTTGATTGGGATGAATGCTTAACCAAAGACCTACTCGAACAGTGGTCGGTGTATAAGAGCGATCTTAAGGATTTAAAGGAACTTACCATTCCGAGATGGCTAAACATGACGCGAGATTCTAAAACTGAGCTACATGTTTTTTCTGATGCTTCAAAATCAGCATATGCAGCTGCAGTTTACATAAGAGTTATGGATGAGTTCAATAATGTTCATGTACATTTAGTCACTGCAAAGACGAAGGTTGCGCCGATTGATAAGGAAATTTCAATTCCCAGATTAGAACTGTGTGGCGCAACTTTAGCTGCTAAACTAATTTTTGAAGTGTCCCAGATTATGGAAATACCTAAGGAGCATTTACATGGGTGGACAGACTCCACGGTTGTGTTGGCATGGCTCAAAGGTGGTTCAAGCAGATGGACTACTTTTGTAAGTAACCGAGTGTCCACAGTATTAAACATTTTAGATTATGAGCAGTGGGGTCATGTTTCTACTGATGCGAACCCTGCTGATTGTGCATCGCGAGGCTTGCAACCACGAGATTTAGCAAACCATTCATTGTGGTGGAGAGGACCGGAGTGGCTGTCACAAACAGACATACAAAGGAATGAGACAAACATTATTGATACCCATGAAGAGGAAAAAATCAAATCTCTTATAGTTTCATCTAATATTGACGAGCTATGTATATGGACAAGGTTTTCATCATTGTCAAAATTATTAAAGGTAATATCATACTGTAGAAGAATACTGAATTTACAGTTACCTCAAAATGGACGACCGAGTTTACCTCCATTTATTACTACAACTGAACTAAATGAAACTTTATTGTCAGTTATTAAGTTAATTCAAGGACGCGAGTTTTCAGTTGAGATAAATCAACTAAACACCAAGGGATGTGTTCCGAAAAAATGCCCTATACGAACTCTTTCTCCGTTTTTAGATCAAAAGGGAATATTAAGAGTAGGTGGTCGTATAACACAAGCTGATGTGTGTTATGATACGAGACATCCAATAATTATGCCTGCTAAAAATCATTTTAGCATGCTTCTAATTCGTGACGCTCATATCAAAACTTTACACGGAGGTCCACAACTTATGTTGAACATTTTGCGAACAAAATATTGGATTTTAAGAGTAAAGGA